CCATGGTGCGCTACTGTCCTTTACAGGCCTCTGGAGTGGAGCCTATTTATTATTAGCATCATCACGTAATTAACCAGTTTTAAATCTTCCATTCCTACAATGACTTCTTGTATATCAGTGAAATTATAGCCCCTACATCCCATTGCAACTCACTCTGCCGGGGAGCACAACTCATGTGTGTCAGTGAAAACATGATCAATATAGATCACTAACACTACTAATGGTCGTAGAAACTCTCATAGGTTGAGCTACAACCAGGGTCAAATTTCAAGCATCCACTAACCGACTAGCCTGGGTTTACAGTATGAAAAATTAATCTGTGGCCATATGTCAATGTCAGTACTCATTATGTCTTTCTGTACGTATCTTAAATGTATTACTGAACATCAAATGCAAACCCATCCTTCGACAGTCAGTTCAGAATCATGATAAGTAGAGTCCATTGTTTCTGATTACAGCATGGATACTGTTTGAGGAGCAGATCTGGTAATCTCAGGAATTATCGCTTAGTAAACTCAATGACAAAGATGCAGTTTTCTTATTTAGACATGTAAATAAATCAAACAGAAATAGTTACTAAAATCACACTTTAAGATGATGATCTCTAGTTGCTCATCTTCACTGATATAGATTTCTGTGATTTCATTTCTTGGCAGAAGACAAGATTGTCTGTCTGTCTTTAAAGTGAAAAAGTTTTACAACAGTTTTCTCATAGGCTTATTCTCCTCCTGATACTTGTTTTCTGAATGTACTCAGTATCCATATTAAAGCCACCTAGTCCCAGATTGCTTTAGAGCATTTGTCACACCTTAATTTCTTATTCCATCCAATCCCTGCTTACAGTTCATTATGTTGTTTTTAAATGACTTTAACTTAGTTTCAGTCTCCTTGTATCCCCCACTTGTCTTTTCAAACCTACATCTTGGGTGAATTCAAAGCTGGTCTTTAAGCTCCTGCATCTCTATTAATTCTATCCAGTCTCCACCCAGTTCCTTCCATGATCACTTGAATAAAGCACTTCAAGTTTTCCTGCTCCAGAAATAACATGTCTTTGTCAAACATTCCCTGCTGTTTCAATAACTGGAAGAGGACACTTGGTATTGCCACAGAATCATCATCGTCTAATAACTAGTGTTAGCATTATAGCCAAAGATTGGTTCTAAAGACGGATGACAAGCCTACTCTCCAAAAGTGAAGCCAGAGTGCCTCGATCGTCACCTGGTGGCTGACTGCAGTACATGTTGTACATCCCTCTTCGTCCCTGTTTGGGACAGGATGTGGACCAAATGAAAAAGTCAAAATTGCACGTCAAATAAAAGTTTCCCAAAAATGGTTTCTGTAATTAAAAGTTGTTCCAATCACACTGATGTATTTTAAAGTGGATTTTTTTCCATAGCATTTTGTTTTAATTAGATATTTGATGCTTCGGTCCGACCTCGCTACCACGGCTCCATCAAGCAATCACTACTGTGGAGATTCTGACTGCAGATGGTTGCGCTGGAATCGGCTCTGTAACTGGAGAGAGGCATGAAGTGGAGATGCATTCTCCAACTTTATAAACAGTTTATGATTATAGCAGTCCAAACTAAGATGGTCAATACTATAAACATAAAGCTCAAAACACAGCTGTGCGTGAGTACCTAGAGCTGTGTGCATGACTCTGTAGACTTTCAGGGTGTGTCCAAACTCATGTCCTATATAGTGCACTACACTTGTTTTCAGCCATTTGAATTGAGTCATAATTGTGTATTTCTTATCACTGCATCAGCCGATGCTGAGGGTCCTTGACTGAGTGAACAAGTGAGCATTGTCAGACACAGTGATTGACACAGTTTTGTTGTCACTTGCAATCCCACCAAAGTCTAGACGTGGCTGTTTTGAGAAAATGTCCAATGTATATTGACGCCTCCTTTGGAAAAGGCTTAGCCAGATCGAGATTTGGATTTTTGATTCCAACAGAAGATGTTCCATTCACTAATCCCTGGAGATTAGACAACACTGCACACAAGTGAGGAAAAAACATTTTTTCACATAGAAAACCTTTTATGTAATGTAGTTTTTATATGTAAACGATTTCTTACTGAAATGGTTGAAATGCAATGGTTTACTCATATTGCAACAACAGTGCATTTGCCACCTCCTTTCCTCTAAATAGAGTGAAAATTAGAAATGCAAAGCACCTCAGTATATGAAAGGGAGAGTGAGGAATTGTGGTGGTTGTGTGAATCACAAAAATTGTTTCTCTGTGTGCTTCGACGCAGAAATATGATAAAACATAAGAAGGCTTAATGTCCTCAAATGGTGACATGAGAGCAGGCAAACAAGCTGAGATGTGACGTATGCAGTTGTGTGTTTATGTTGGGCTTACATTTTTCTATCTCTGCCGTTCATGCAGGAAGAGAGTGTCAGGGGAAGAGATAAGGTTTGATTGTTCATGAAGAGGAGGGATGTCCGGTGTATGTGTGGCAGCTATTGACTTATTTCAAAATGCCAACAAGTCAAGACCGATCTCCCCAAAAAAATATTTCTGCTGATTTATTGTGCAACTATTCAATGAAAGAAAAGGAGGTGGTGAAAAGTCAGAAGAGGCAGTGATGAGGTGGAGCTGATGCACCCATGAGTGGAGAGAGAGAGAGAGAGAGAGAGAGAGAGAGAGAGAGAGAGAGAGAGGGAAGCAGGAAGTCCAACACCTCAGGACTTCTCGCTTCAGACGTCATTGATGAGAGGAAGGAGGCAGAGGAGGACCCTCGCCACCAGTGAGGAACAAGTCAGAGGCGCAGAGGAGAGAGTGGAGTCTGGGTGCTTGTATGCAAGTGAGGTGAAGAGAGAGAGAGACCCTCCTCTCTGCGGGTCAGCCCATGACAGAAGATGAAGAACCATATCACCAATGCCATCTCCGACTTCTTCTTTGAGTATGAGACCCCCCGCCAGGTGTTGGTCAGGAACAGGAGGGTGGGAGTGGTGTGCCGTGTGATCCAGCTGGGGGTCCTGGCTTACATCATTGGGTAAGGCTCACACAATCAGCCCAATTTTGCTTTGCTGTGCTTGTTTTGCTGTCAGGCAGATTTGAGTGCATTTGTATTGTCTGACATGCTCCAGCTTGCTTGAAGGAACACGGTGTGATGCATGAATGACCTCTCAGAGTGCACATTCCTGCAACCTCTGTTTTTTCACACGCCCATAATCTTCATCTTGCGATACATTTTGAAAAAAAGAGGAAATGTGAGGCCTCTTATTTGACTTTTGACTGTAACTTGCCACACACTGACACAAAATATTACACAAGTATTGACTGCTTGGGATGAGAGGATGAGAACATGAGAGGACAGGATCACAAGATCATTGTTGTTATCTGCCCATCTCAAGTTGAGACAAAACAACAGCATGCTTGATAATTTACATATAATGGGCCATTCACTGCATCCACACACTTGCTTGGGCATGTTGGCGTTTTTCCTCGGAAAGTCACTGTGAAGATAGCCAAGGAGAATTTGTTTTAATTCATCTCACTTCCGCTGACAGCTATCAGGTTTCCAGAGTTTGAGATCACTCACGGGCTGTTGTTTGTGTGTTTGACATTTTTCCTTTGCACCTCTGAGCAGCAGAACCTGAGGAGCTGTGTGTGATGAACGCGCTGAGGCATATGCTAACAAAGATAACAATCAACCGCTGCCCAATTCACTGCCAAACAGCGCAGAGTTTTGTTACCTTCTGCTGCTGGTGCTGATCGGTGACCGAAACTGTAACAGAGAAAGACAAATTTAAGGTCTCCTCTTGCTAATGGCAAGGATTCTTTCTCTTTGATTTAAACTGATTTGAAATGGCACACATGGTTTCTCTATATTATTCACATCTTATCACTGTGCTTTAATCTTCACAAGCTCCAGAGCCAGAAAAAGTCCATTATGACTGATTTCTTTAATTTGAAAAAAATCTTGAAAAATCTGATGCAACTGTGAAATACAATATAGTTTGCACTGTGCACTGATAAAAATTTAAAAAAGGGAACAGCTGCAGAGTGTTTTATAAATGTTGAGCCTGTGTCGGCATCAGGGCTGTGTGTGCATGACAGAGCTTGCACCCTGTCACCTACCTTTTTGCAGCCATCAGGCCGCTTTGAGGTTGGGGCAGTGATGGACACGAACGAAGATGTGATTATAAAGCTGTCCAGATTCCCCTTCTCAGTAGTCAAGCAGCGGGGCTGACAGGTCGGAGCAGCCTTCAGCCCGTGTCTCTCAGGCACTTGCAATGAAACGGTGACTCACTGGTCACCTTATCCCGCAGGACGTTCTACATTTCAATTTTACCTTACTTTCCTTAAATGGGAATGATTTCAAAATGCACTTATTTTATAGTTATATGTTTTCGCTTTTACTCACTTATTCCTTATATATGAAAAGTGATGAACCGCAGTTTGGCAGTAGACATATACAACACAGAGCTTTGCATAAAAAAAATGCACAAAATCCCATTCATGGTTTTGAAAATGTTTTATACATCACTCAAAAGTAAATCTGTAAAATAAAGCAAACACTAATTTAATGGAGGACAGCAGCAAAACCATTATGTCTGTTCTTTTAATTAATTCCCATCTTGTCAATTCTAAGTTGACAAATCCACAGTTTGCATTTCACAGTGATTAGTTGGAGGTTGATTCCTTTTTCTTTTTTTCATTCTAATTTGTCTTCACAAAACGAAGACTAATCTCAGCGCCACAGTATGGTGGAAAGAGAAAGCCCTCTCCGCACATGAAGGAGCCTCCTTGAGTCTGCGTCGCCTTCTGCCGGAGCAGATACAGATCTCACTTAGACTGCTGTTTTGGAAGATTCTTCCATTATTTCATGCTCATGCGTTTCTTTATTCTGTTAATTTGCTGTAATTCTTATCCCCCCACGTCCACTCCAGTGTTAGCTCCAACTTACATAATTTGATTGGCATAACTGATAACTGCTCATTATGCACTTTATTTCTCTGTGCAAAGATGTTTCTGTTCGTCTGTTGCTGTAAGGTGCTCTCATTGTGCACAGACAAATGAATGTGTGCTGCAATGCATGCCGTCCTGCAGGGTTTCTGCTCGGGGATTATTACTTTTCACACCCTGTATAAAATAGTTCCTCGTGCATGTGTGTTTACATACAGTATCTGTCCAGTGAAGGCCAGCTGTTAGTCATATCCCTCCTGGCCACACACAGATTTAGCAACACAATGAGAAGCTTCACTTTGCAGAAGTCAAAAAAGTGTGTGAAGCTGGTTTCTGCTCGACGCCAATCCTTTTATGTGATGAAGGATTCAGGCACTTCTCCTTAATTTAGTGAAGTCAACATAGCTGCAGGTTTTTTTTTTATCAGAAAATGAAAGGAATATTTTTAACATTTAGTGTATAAATCTAAAATGTATTTAAATCAGGAGCGCAGTACACTTCGAATCTCATTATATGTTATTACCACTGATGGAAAAAATAGATAGTTCCTTTACTCAAGAAAAAACATCAATACAGCAATGTTATATATTCCTTTACAAATAAGTCCTGCATTTAAAATTCCAGTAAAATTACTGAGATGTTATTATGTATATTAAAACTGTCACATGATTTACTATCATACATGATATATATGAGATGAACAACCCTGTTTTACTTTTACTTTCTACATTATGAGTAAATACTTTTACACAGTATAGTGGTTCCCTATTTAGGGGTAGGAATTATTTTCTGGTGATCTGTGCTGTTATCTGGGAAAGAGCACAGTAGCTCTGCTGACTGAAACTGTGATTACGCACGGCGTTTACTTCCAACTTGAGCTACTTTTTACTTTTATCATATTTTGAAACTGGTAAGTTGCCACCATGAAAAAAAAGTATTTGTAAAAGTCGCAGACAATAACATTTACACGTGACCCTGTGAGGTGTGATGATGGCATCTGGGGTCGCTGTGCAGAGTGTCAACATCACACCTTCACTTGTTGGATTTAGATGTTTGGTTGAGGTGGAGTGGGAGTTTGAAGTGCTGACAGGCCTGACATGACACTTTGTGTATCCCCTGCAGGTGGGTTTTCATCTATGAGAAAGGCTACCAGTCCACGGACACGGCAGTCAGCTCCGTCTTCACCAAAATGAAAGGCGTGGGCTACACCATTGTGAATGGAGATGAGAGAGTCTGGGACGTGGCTGACTATGTCTTCCCATCGCAGGTAGGTCGTTACCTGTGAATGGCGAAGAATTTGTTTTGCACGTGATACAAGTCACTGACCATTGTCGAGATTATATTAAATCTGGGTCAGAGTCAAATGTCATGGTATTCATGGTCCGTGATTCCAGTTGTCAGAGTGATTAACCATCAGCCTGAGTCAGACGAGCTACATCAAATGCTTTCTCACACATTTAAAACATCCGTGTTGGCATGAATCTATTCCAGATTTAATTGGTGACATCATGGTTGAGTACACACAGGGTGAAAGTCACTGTAGGTTTGAGAATTTAACCCTGATGATACCTTGGCTGCGTCAGCATCAAGGTATTCCTTGTTTCCCAAAATTAATAGCGTGGATCCTGTAGAGAACTATGTAAACAACCTTCCAAAAGAGACACTGGACAAATATAGTTCTTTGTTTTCCCAAAATACTGCGTCACATTAACTATGGTAATGAAATAAAGTATACACAATGAAGTCAATCCTGTTTGCTTTGAGGTGAGGGTGTGGGCCTTCTTTCATTCACATTGGCACATGGTTTGGTTTGATAAACCCAACTGACAGATTGAAAGGAAACTTTGGCACAGCCTCACACTTTGATCACGCAGGTATCAGCCACCAGTTCATCTTTATTCTGGTATCCATCTGTTTGTCTGTGAGAATTACCCAGATCTGTGTTTTACTAATTCTGTCATTCCATAGCAATTTACAAAGGACCCCTCAGCTAAATTGATTTTCTTGAAAATATTTATGTAAAACTTCTTATAAATCTTTGAAGTTTTGGCCCTAAATTTGCAGCTATGATAATCCATGACCTGCTCTGAATTATCTCATAGTCTCAAGAGTCATCGTTTCCATGCATGACTTGGAATAAGGTGCTAAAGCAGCAGATATACAGAAAGAGCAGATTCTGATGCTTGACTAAAATCAACAGTGTAGAAATACTTTATCAGACCGGATAAAACTGCAGGATATTAAAGGCTGCCTTAAAGTAAAAGAACAATTCCAGCGTTATGAATAACCAACTAAAGATACACTCGTTTACAGCTAACGCTCGCAGGAGCAAAGTTAACAACAATTGAAGAATTCTCCAAATGTCCTTTCACCACCAAACGTTATATCCTTCTCTCACACATTGAGAAGTGTCGGAATATATATGTTACCCTGGATTAATCAACTTCTAAAATGCAGTAGTCCTGAATGCTCTGATTCAAATCTATGACAATAAACACAAAAGTAGTATATTGTTATACTCGATCCAGCATCTTGTTTCCTACATAACAGTATCAGTGATAATCTCAAATATGCAAAAAGCTTTACTTTCAGTCTTTAAAAAACACAAATGAACATTTTTAATATTTTGGTATTGGTTTTTTAGCATTTAAGAAATTGAGATAAGACACAGAGCAATAGTTCATAAGTCTTTTCTTTATGAAGCTGTGTGAAGCTGGAGCCAGCAGTGAGGTAGCTAGATTAGCACAGTAACTAGCAACAACAGCTAGCCTGGCTCTAAATTATGCCTCAAATAAGTTATTGATAACTGGTTCAAACAAAGACATAAAACAGGTTATTTTAATGAGCTTCTAGAGATGCTGGCAAATTATTTTCCCTTCATAACAATACTGTTTTCATGGCAGTTCCCTGTCATTTCCAAAATAATTATTCAATATGAATTAATATTCCTTTATGTTGAAAACTTTTTGCAGAAGAACATTTTTGATATTAGCAGGGCTACAATGAGAAACACCTGATTAATGTTTGACAGGCCACCTACAATAAACCAAATGTTGCATAACAACCATTGTGTCATGTTATGGCATAAATGAATAAAGACATAATAACATATTCCATCCTTTAATCCTCAACCTCAGGGGGACTCATCATTTGTGGTGATGACAAACTACATCATAACTGAAGGTCAGACCATGGGAAAATGTCCAGAGGTATGTGAAAATGCTCTTTGGTTTTCATTTCTCTTTCTCACTTCTTCCCCCTCCTTTCTTTGTGTCTGTGTCACTTCCATAAATAGTAAAAACAAAACAGAAACTGTGTTTCATTCCAAGACTGTTTATGTAACTGGGTAATTGTGTAGTAAATTGCAGAAAATTCTATTTAAGATTAATGGTTTCAAGATGACATAAACAGTGGTTCCTGTAGAGTATCACAATACATCACACACAATGTCATGTTACTTTCATCTTTAAAACCATGCAGTTTCTTCACATTCGCATTCCACTGTTGTTCACAAACACTGACCCCAATCTCTTGTTTATAACAGCTCAGAGGCAAGAACAATTGCAGCTCGGACGCCGACTGTGAAGGAGGGAATTTGAAACGTACGGGACATGGTAAATCCTGTCGCCCTGACAGTGTATGACCTCAGCAGTCCTCACTGAGGAACCGTCTCGTTTGTCTGTGGCTAAACTCAGATGAGTCCTGATCTTTAGCTTTTCATTATCTTTATTTAGTTTCGCCAGAGACGAAAGCCTGTCTGAAACTTCTTTAAAGCCAGTAATGGGACTTCAATGTACCGAGGGAGGTAGAGGATCATGTCAGGTTCCGGAGCAGTGTATTTGCAAAATGGGCTGTGGCTCTTAAGAACTGCCATAGAACGGGCTCACACAGAATAAACTGAAACACACCATATCTGACTCATCACTGTTGCTGCTAGGGTAAACACTCATACGCTGTTCATACATTGCTTTTCTAGCATGCAGAAAATAACTGATTTAAATCAACAACCTAGAATTAGCAACCAAACACACAGTGTGTGTTCTTATATTATGTTGATCACCCTGCCTTGAGTAAGTAGACACAAGCATGTAAATACAGGCCAAGATATTCCGTGCATATAAGCTCAGAAGCAAACAGAGTCGTTAAAATAAAATAACCATCCAGATGAAAGCTTTTTTAATAGGTTCAAACATTGCATTGATGTTGAGTTCAAAGAGCACTTATATAAATTTATAGTCACCCATCTGTCCCAGGGTTAAATTCAAAGCCATTCAAGTCCCCTGTGTCACACTTCCCCTTCGATAAGGCCAGTGTTAGCTAAAGCTTTAGATCTGTCTGTTTCATACCAGTCAAATTCACCTTGAGGTGCCAGTGCCTCTTCAGAGGCAGCCAACTGTCTCTATGCTGGAAGACAAGTAAACATGGGGGGGGGGGCCTGTAGCTAAACAGGCCGTTGGAGTCTGGTGAAAGGTCAGAGACTGAAGCCAAGTGACCCAACGAACGCCTACTGGAGAACTGTCTATGAACTCGCCCTGCACACGATGAGAGGCACTGATACCAACAAAACTAATGACACGGACAGAAATGAAATGTTGGGATCGGGGCCAGATAAAGGAAACAGCTATTTCAGCGTTTTGCTCCACTTTTACATCTCGCTCACTGCTCCTGATGCTAATTCAAGATAAGATAACGAGTGGGGGGCAGGAAATGTTTAGATTTGCTTTAATGTTAAAGCCAATGCTGTTTTTTGCTGCCTGAAATACATTTGCTGCTGTTTTAATTTTGTCTCATTGGTGAACTCCAATATTCTGTTTCAAGGGCAAATGACGGGAGTCTGTGTGAACACCACAAAGACCTGTGAGGTGTTGGCTTGGTGCCCTGTCGAGGATGATCACAAAATACCAGAGTACGTGGAAACACTGAACTATCCGTACTATCCTATGTGATGATAGATTTGATTTTGTGTTGTTTTTAAAGCTCCTCAACATACTGTATTTTATTCTTTTATCTTTTCCATTCCAGTCCTCCTCTGTTGATGTCTGCCGAAAACTACACTCTGTTCATCAAAAACTCTGTAACTTTCCCCTTATTTGGTGTCACAAGGTGATGGACCTCATTCATATCAACTTTCATTTAGCTCGGTAGATGTTGCAAATGTGATCAAAACTAGAGAAACTAGAATGGCACTCAGCAGAGCACCTACGTCCGCCTAGACCCAACAGTTTCCTCATAAAACCACAATTAAATTGACTAAATCTGGACTTGGATGTGTGGCAAACAGTGAACTGTCATATATTACAAAAAAAGTATTTTAAATAATTTTAGTCATGCTGTAGTTGATAACGAAAAGGTTTCCTAGATACTCTTGTGTAACTTGCTTCAAGAAAAAAATCAATCATAAGAAGTCAGTGGTACCTATATGGGATAGAGTAATTTAACTTATCATCAAACCTCCATCCATTTATCCATCCATCTATCAGCTATATCACTTATCGTTTTAGGGTGATGCATGGCCGAAATAAAGAGTTGTTGATATTTAAACAAATTCATCCAATACATTCTGTTTCCCTGGAGTTTGCGCTTGAACATAAATCTGTGTTTTCAGGAGTAACCTGGTGGAGGGTATTGATGCCGGATACATCAGCAAATGCTACCATGATCCGGAGAATGCTCCGCTGTGTCCAATATTCAGACTGGGAGACATAGTCAAACTGTCTGGCTTTAATTTTGAAACAATTGCCAAGGTGGTAAGTTTGCTGCATAAGATTCAACACTGAATATGTTTGCATGAAATCATGTTTTGGTGTTTTGTTTTGTTTCTTGTGTTGTAATAGAGACTTGTTTGATGTATTATGGGCTTGTTTCTTGACAGGGAGGAGCCATTGGCATTGTGGTTGATTGGACATGTAACTTTGATGTGGCTGTAAAACACTGTAAACCAAAGTACCACTTCCATGGTCTGTATGGAAACCCTGCTGAGACAGACAAAGCCAGAGCATCAGTGGGCTACAACTTCAGGTGTGTGAATATACTTCAGTAGAATTAAAGGAGCAGTGTGTATGATTTAGGTCATTCTATTAGTAGGGATGAAACCATATTTATGAATGTTGAATTGGTGTGAAGCACTTTGAGTGGTTGGTAAGACGACCTGAAGGCCACAGTAATTTACACACCCTTGAAAGGAACGTGTGATAAAAGGGGGATTCAATTGGTTGCAATCAACAACCTCACCACTAGATGCCACTAAATCCTACACCTTTTTTCCTATCAATGGTCATTTCAATTTTTATAATATCCTTTGAGGGCCAAGCTCAATTACTGAAGACATGCTGTGTATCATGAGCGCTCTAACGTGTTAGTTGAAACTGCATCTGTTTGGCGAGGTGAGGTGGAATTGATGATGATGATGATGATACCTGTTGCTGGTTCTCCAGGTTTGGTTCAGTCAGTCAGTCAGTCTTGAGGGGAGAGAATTCTTTCAAAAGGTTAAATTTGAAAAATAAATGTTACTTCAGAATGTGGCTTTGTAAAAGCTGCTTGTTGAGCATCAAACTCTTTCATCGAATTGCATTTGTTCTTGTAACTCAACCATTAGAGCATGTTTATAGCAGTTATGATGCTTGTCATTAGCCTTGGTGGTGATGAGGCTTAGCAGCTATGTGTGTGTTTTGTTCACCCTGATTGTGAGCTGACTGGCATAGAGCCTGAAGGGACCACCCCGAAGCATGATTTTCTTTTTTCTTTACGAGTTTCTTTTTTTCCCCAATACATTAATTGCTTTTTGGGCCAGAATAAACTGTCCCAATGTCCCCAACCCATGTAATACACACTGGTCCATTGCACTCAGGTGTTGCACTGTAGAAAGGATAGTGTTCTTGGTCCAAGTCACAGTGCTTGAGCAACACTTTTGACATTTCTGTTGAGAGTGAAATGAGAAACTTGATACCACTAATGTGACTGTATATAAAGCGTGAAACTGGATTTATCAGTTGGGTTGGTTTAGCAGAAACTGGAAAAAGGGGAAAGGGCTTTTCTAGTTCTGTTTTACAAGATTAAAACAGTGTAGAACACAAGTGTTGGTCGTAGCTTCACTTTTTTGTAGAATAAAGAAGATACACCATGTAACTTTGTGGCTTTACAGGTGCTGGTAAGAATATTGTTAGCTGTTAGCTTTGCAAGGAGCCAAGCGTCCCGTTTTTGACTTAAACTAATCGTCTTCTGGTCTTTTACATTGTCCAGCACGTCTAATATCAACAAGCAGGCATGTTAATTGAAGTAAAGATCAATTTTTATAAATCTGATACTGTGGCGCAATTTCGTTTAGTCATCTCTGAAGAAAAAACAGCTCAGTTGCAATCACGCTTCATTACCTACGTCAACGAGGTAATGTTTTCAATGGTTAATTTGTATGTTTGTAATCAAGATTACACAAAAAGTACAGAGTGGATTATCACAAAGATGCAGTATGGGTCAGGGAAGAACCAATTTAATTTTTCATTTTCTATTACATTGCCAAATAGGGCATTCTCCAACAATTTAACAAATATCTTTTAGTTTGTGAAACACTTGAATTTCAGGAGACTGAGTCTTGGCAGAGACATGTGGTCTAGTTCATGCCATTCTGATTTCATGATGTTTGATAGTAAAATCAGTAAAATACTGTTCATGGACATTTCTATTCTTCTGATGGTATACCGCCAGTGTTTAATTTCGCTCACTTCATTTTCCATGCACTAAAGTGTTAAAACATTGTTGGCTCCTGATATTGCTCTGCTCCAGGTCTGTGTGCTGACTGCAGACAGCCTCAGTACAAACCCAGTTTATAATGTTTACTCGCCGTCAGTTCGAACGGCTCAATGTGGCTGCTGAGATTTGTCTCAAACTGTCACTTGTTAGTATTCACTGTGCTCTGAGCATCGTCTATTCTCTCTGTGCTCACACATACACAGTCATTACCAGGCTATTATCTACATTATGGTAATGCTACTTGGCTGTAGGGTTGTTTTCATTAATAAAAACGAATTAAGGTTTTCCTTTTTAAAAAGATGAATCTATAAGAGGCTGTGAAACCTTACAAATGTGTGTTATTGTGCAGGTTTTGACTGCCATATAATCTGAAATGGATATGTGGGAAATGTAAATATTAACGAAAGGCTTTTTAAAAATGGTTTTTACTGTTGTGACATATTCTAGGTATGCAAAGCATTATTTTGAAGACAAACTTCAGAAAAGAACTCTTCTCAAAGTCTTTGGGATCAGATTGGATATCATTGTGCAGTCTCTGGTAGGTAATGTATTTACACACATTTCTAACATGAGCATTAGGAAAAAAAAAATATTTTGAATAAATGGCATTCTGTTCACAGGCAAGAAAGTTTGATATCATCCCAACACTAACAGCTATAGGCTCTGGAGTGGGCATTTTTGGAGTGGTATGTTGCACCTATAAGAATGATTTGTCATGGCTTGTGAAATACATTAAATACTAACTAACGTCACTCTTTTTCAAATACTTCATCAGGCCACTGTTGTATGTGACTTGGTGCTGCTCTATCTCCTGCCTAAAAGAGAGTTTTACAAGAACATGAAATTCAAATATACAGATTCACATGCACAGGTAAGATCTATTCTGTATTTATCACCTGAGTATCCCATGTAAGTTACTGCTGTAAACACAAGATGGCAGCAGAGGTAAATTTAACAATATCACTACAAACAGAAACAGTACAGAAAAAAGTACTGCATTCACCTTTTTAATTCATTAACATAAGTTCTTGTGAAGGACGGCCACATAGAACCAGGAACACGGAAACAGTAAACTTCAGATTAACGCTGTGTTTGTTCCCATAACATTCGTGAGCGCAGCAGAACCATCTGTGCTTTGTACAGTGCAGCCATTAATCTGACTGAAGATGAAATCTCAGAATATCCCACCCAGACTGTTTCCCTATTTCACTGAAACAGGCAGCATTTTGTATTTACAGCAGGACAGTGGTTTAGACTCTATTACACCCTTGAAGCAAATGCAAGACCAGTCCAATGTGCACGTAGAGGTCAAGACAGTATAGTTTTTTTAACTTTGTGATGATGATGTCTGATTTACCTGAGATGTCTCAACGGCACCAACTATGTTACTTTTATTTGACAGGATCCTGACTCAGAGGCAGGTAGCATAGAGACAGATGTAACTAAAGTAAGCAATTCATACTGTATACTTTTTTAGATTAAAAAATAAGAACCAATTGCTTTGATTCAATGTCATGATAGTGGATTCATTTATTTATTTGCTTTTCTTGTGTAGAAATGACCTGGGGGCAAATGTTAATGCCAGTGGCCGGGCTGCATTCAAGGTTTCTGCACTGGAACCCTGCCCTTGACTGTGCAGACGACACACACACACATTCACTGACTTAACAAATGGACTTGAGTCCGTCAAACGACATTGCTACTCCTGCAGCACCTCCTACCAACATCCTCCCACTCTTAAAGCCATCCTGAAAGACTAAGACTCTAGCTATGGCCGTGTAGCTCAGCTGTATGTGTACTTTATTGGGCGTAGCTCAATTTGCTTTTGTTCACACACTGGGTGTAACTGTTTTCCACATCCGCACTGGTGATAGAACACTTTCTGGCACTCCGCAGTGATCCTGTGTGTACACACATCACTATCATAAGTCATCCATTGCCGTGAAGGTCACAACCGGACACACACACGTGATGCGTGGATGTGCCACTGTCAGAGTAACTCATCCTTTCCCAAGTGACTGCAATAAAAGATGTACAGTGATGTTCCTGATGTTTCACTTGTCTCACAGTGGAAGTGGTTGAACAGAAATACACCAAATACAAAATATCCAAAATGTAATTTTCTTTTTTTTTTATTGTCTATGATTATGTGTAGGTGTATAAAAGCAAGCAAAAAATTGCTTCTTTATATATATATTGGTACATATTTACATTGCAAAAACTGCATTCCATAGGGATGTGCCATGCGTCTGTTTTCATACGACTGACCTATGCAGGCGGGTGAGCACATTCAGAGGAGCACACAAGACTGAAACATCCAGAAACGTTAACAACACCTTCAACACAGATATCAGGACAGTTACATAAGATACACAGCAGCCACTCGAACGGCCCCTGACTTCATGTGCTCACTCGCTCTCCCACAGTCCTCTGTCACCCGAAATCATGAGAAATTAGGCATTCACTTAGTGCCTCACTGCTGTCGCTGCACTAAGCTATAGGGAATTTCATGTGAGCGACTTCTGGCAAAGCTGCAGTCCCCTACATGTTTAAGACTGTTTTCTCTACCCAGGGACCTGCAGCAAAATTAATGAAGAGGGAGTTTTAAAAAAAACAACCAAGATGAGAAAGTGTTATGGATTGTACCAGGATCAGCTATACTTTTTAAATCATGACTGGAAGAAGATATCTAAAAGTGGTTCTGGACGCATGGATGGTGTTCCTATAAAAAAAACTCACAAAAACACCCCCTTCAGCTTTTGTTTGGCTAACAGCTATTCAGGTTCAATCCGATATGTTATATAAAAAAAGGCAGGACAGATCTTAAGGTGAAAACCTTTTTGCTCATATATTTCAGTTCAGGGATGAATGAAACATAAACATAAATGGTGAAAAAAATCATTGTCATCTTGTTTAAATTTCCTTAAAATTCATGATATTTGAGGTATTAATATATGATAAGATAATTGTTGGCTGGGTGATTGAAGAGACTGTCGAAGCTGCTCCTGAGCTCTGAACCTGGCTCATACGGTACTTTGGCGTTATGCATCATTTCAGAAGTTAAACCCAGAGAGCTCCAGAGTTGTACACCTTTCACAAGTCTGTCATCATGTAGATATGCAAACCAAAACCAGCTTATTCAAAACCAGTCGAGTTGCTGCAGCTGTTTCATCATCTCAAGCAGGAGAAGACGTTTCGGAAACATATTTTGAGCTTCATTTTGTAAAAATTCTCAAAAAGCAAGCAGCAGCTCTGTGACATGCAGAGAGTAAAGCATCAAAGAGCACAGGAGATTATGAGAGCATACAAACACAGTAAATATGGTCTTTTACAGATGAACACAGTTTTTTCTCTGGATTGATAACTGTACAGTGTGTCGTGGCTGGCAGGTGCCAGTAGAAGCAGTAATTTCAATATGTATGTGTAAGTGGGAAAAGTGCAAGCATTTAAATATCAGTGATGTTTTAGCAAGAACAACTAAAACATGCACAAAAGAGTCCTCCAACACACAGTGTAAAGCTGGACACAGCAAGAAAAAAAATTATGAGTGTTACACAGTAGTAAAGGAAATAAAATGGAATATTTCAACATTTTTTACTTTTTGGTTCGTTCAGCCCTTCATTGAAGGTTACTCTGCAAACCCCCCCCCCCGCTGTCACTTACTACACCTGACCCTCAACACAGACAGGAAAACACAAAAGAGGAGCACAATCCGTAGACACAAAGTCACACAAAGACATTTTAGACAATGATATTCATGCATCAACTGTTTTCCTGAAAGAGTAAAAAATGATATAAAGATCTACATTCCCCAGGAGCCACATGATAATAAAGTCGATTTTTGTGAATTACGTCAAAAACCCAGAAACACTGACGCTAACTTCATGTGAAACACGTTTTCCATTCAGATCGCTCCACACCATCTCTATCCTCTGCACTTCAGTTAATGTCCTTCACTGGATAATACCGAGAACAAGGCTAAGAGAATGGTGAGGCGCTGTGCTGCCTGTTTCTGTTCAGCTTGTTGCTGCTGTTATTGTTGGCAGCCTGGACCTCATCATAACATTGAGAAGCTCCTTTCTCACTGTAGTTCAAGTGTTTAGAGACAAACTCTGGCTTCCTTTTCCCCACAGGGGGCAAAGTGCCAGAGCAGCAAAAAAAAAAAAAAAGAGGACGAACAGCGTTATATAAATAATATAAATCTGAGGTTATCTGAGGCAGAGCTGCTGTGGAGGCAGAGCTGTTCTCAGCTGGGTCGAGTCTGCTCAGAAAAAACAACCACAACTAACCCTTAAAGTTAGCCAACCAACTTGAATAGCAAACAAAGGGCTTGAATGAGGAAACTACCCCATTAGCCCAATATTTCCCAGCTCTACAAACTTGACTGACCCTAACCCTAATAAGGGATTGTGCAACAATTACCAGAGTGGGGGAGGGGGGGTCACATCTTAAAACTGTCCCCAGCCTTGTTGTGTGGACCCCAACTAAGACAAATGAAACCTGCAGCACCCTCCACCAACACATTGTATAGTACTGGGTTGATACAACCGTTAACTAACAAATAATAAATAGAATAAAGTGTGATCTCATTTAAACAATAGAAATATATTTATGGAACAATAATGCCATAATAATGACTATTTGATTAAATCTCTAAAAATCATTCTCACAAAGAGCTGACAGAGTATACTGTATTTGGGGTATTATTAATAAAAGGAGACCCTTCTAAACTGTGACCACCCTCCCCACATTAACATTAATGACCTCACCCACCCTAAATATTTCTGTCACCTCACCTGGATGATGCTGCACAGGTTGATTTAATTCCATGTGATTGGAAATGATGAGTGTTCGAGAACAAACATCAAACAATAGATTTGAAAAAAAAATCATAATCAGATAATTAAAATATTATTAGTTACACACATCGAAACATCACACTGACGTCCAACCAGGACTGTGAAGGCAGCACAGGAATTACCTCCGCCTTCGAAATGAAAGCTACAGATGGCACATACACAACGAGGGTGTGAGACGATAACACTGAAGTTACTTTAAGACATCTTTGTACAATATTAAAAATGACTGATCACTGATCAGAAATCAAAAGCCCTAATATAGTGTCATTTACATGCTGAAGTCTTTGCTGCCTTTCTCATCTCTTCATCGGGTTGAATATGACTGATGGGGCGTAAATATTCAATATTCACCATGCATACAGTTAAAAAGTCCCCCCCTCCTTGCACAAAACAGTGTTATGCAAATTCAAACATTTCCTTGTCTTTTTTTGCAACAATAATTTGATCCAGAAAATTGTCAGAGCTCCTCTCATTGGTTCATTGATGCCACTTCCTCGTGTCTGTGGTTGAGCAGGTGAGACGATCAAACTAAGTGCCGGGCGACTCCTCAGTGAAGAAGGGAATTGGGGGAATAAGAAAGGATCGACTGGAAGCAAAAAAACGAAAGCAAGCCTGAGTGTGAGAGGTGAGCGCACAGTGGTTCAAGCACAGGGATGTAAAGAGGACGGAGTTCTGTGGATGGCAGACTCAAGACGAGGGCTCGTCCTCATGCAGGTCCTCCAGCTCTCCCTCTCTGGGTCCGTCTCCTGTGCTTCCCTTTCTGAGAGAAGAAATAAAAAGAGGGAGAGAGAGAAAGAGTGTAAGTCCATATCAACATTTAGTTTTTCTGGTAATGTGAGGCTGGAGGACCATGGCGAGGACAGAGATCCAAGTGATGACACTTTGACAAGGTTATGCAGGTTCTTTCCCCTTTTTTTGTAACATGATGAATGTTAAAAATGTAACAGCGTAAAATGACAGCAGCAGGGAGATGACGAAACTACAGCAGGGGAGAGGGCGGGTCCATCACTTCTCATGATGGTGGATAAGCTGATGGCAGGCGCAGCTGCTGGTAGATGTTTGACAGACAGCGAGCCAGACAGAGTTTTACCTGAGAGAGGGGTGGAGTTTTAAAGAGGGCCGGAAGGGCCACGAGTCCCTGCAGCAGAGTGAGAGAAAAAGATGGGAAAAGTCACAGGTGAGAGGGCGGAGGTCACCTCAGGAGGTCAGAGGCGTGGTCGCTGCAGGAGACGACATCCCCACCTCCATACTCCATCTCCTCAGGATGATGTCATCACTTTGATATTTGATTAAATTCTTAAGTTACTGTTTCTAAAATGTAAAGAAGTTTTTCTGCTTCATATCAATGCACATTTGATATGTTGGGGATTTTGACTGCTTCGATAAAATAATTGATATTGAAGAGACTTCAGTCTGTTAATTCATCATGAAGATTGCAACTCACATGTACATTATATTCCATTTATAATGTCCCTGAGAAGTGATATGCATTGTAATAATTTCGATTTATTATTATGATGATGATTATTATTATTATCATCACTTATTCCTTCATTTTCTCCTTTAAAAGAGAGGGAGATAGGCCCAGTACAGTCCTACGCTGCATCGCTGTAATCTGACCATTATTTTTTTTTAAATAAATGTTTATTTTCATAACTTCCACAAATAAAAGTAAATCATTAAATCAGAAAGAAAAAATATAATTAAATAGATGAATGTTTTTTCCCCTTCCTTCTTCCCTTCGTTCCTTTCTTTTTTTGATTTTTTTTGATTAATGTACAACAATGTACGTTAAAATGCGATATCAACGTATTAATGTAAGGTCTGAGTGATAAAGTATTTGTTTGTGTAAGTATGAGGGTATGAGCACTAAGTTGCTGTGTTATGTGTAAGCACAGGAGTGTGTGAAGCACCAGCCTCAACCGGGACAAGACTGGAGACTTTCTTTCCGTGAAGTCTGCTGTTGCTACCGTAGGCATTTTAATATATATTCTGATAGAAGGTTCAGCAGTGGTTAGTTTTTTGAGAGCTTTTTGATTTCCAGTTTAAGAAGAGAAAAGAGGGAGTTATTCTTGTACATGTTGTTTAGCATCATTGTCTTATCTATCAAGTTGCATTATGAAAACATGTAGAAATGCTGTTTTTTGGGGATTGAAAGTCAGATATTTTGGTCTCAGCTGAGAATTCTTATTCTAAATAGTCTTAAGGATTCCACAACATTAAACAGGTGTAATACTAAAACACAGGAGAACCAGTTTCAACATTAACAGTAATAATCATTATTTGCAGTGTTGCTCAAACACTCTCTTTAATCACCTCTAGGATTACTGCATAATAAATACAACATCCAGGACAGGGAGAGTCATTAGACCTCATGTCACACAGCTGTATCTCACAGTTAAATCCACATTACCCATAAATCCACGGGCATTCTATCACAAAAAACGAAAATACTTATCTCTACCAGTAAAGTCTTGTTTTATTTCTCCATTATCCAACAGGGGGCAGTATTGCTTCATGGCCCCTGAAGACACTAGATAGCTGCTATGAGCTCTGAGTGTAACAGTGGAAAACCTTGAGCTAGATAGAGAAATCCTCAAAGAAAAAAAAACTCACAACAGGAGATTAGAGTGTGCTTCACATTCAGCTCCACAGTCGTCCATCTTCTTGGACACTAATCATGGATTACACTGACCAGAGGGCAGAGGCAGTACAGCAGGGAACAGCTCTACATGCTCCGCTCCGCCTTTGACTGCATATATATATATATTAAAACTGAATGATGGGATAAGACTTTCCAAGGTCAGCCCGAGGCTCTGACGGATCTGTATCATTCTTTTTCTCTCTGAAACCCTTCCACCATTAAAGCTGAGAGCAACACACAAAGAAACACTTAGAAAAGCTGTAAGCTCCACTGCATAGAATGAAAGAATGAATTATGGTGCTATGGCAACAAAAAGCAGTTGCTGCTGTTGCCTCCGCGGGGATGAGCAATAGTTAACCTGATGCAGCAGAGAGGAGACAGATGTGAGGTATCAATCTGTGTAACCTCAACAACTGGTTGGAGCTTGTGTGGTTTGTTTTTGGATTTTTCTCTTCATGCATTAGATGTGCAAGTGTAAATTGTGCATAGGTGTGGATGTGTCATTGTGTCTGGACTGGAGCTTACATGAGCAGACTGCCAGGTGCAGACATGGACCTCTCCTCTCTCCTGCTCGGGCATTCGAAGGGGTTGCTGAAGGAGCGCTTCCTCAGCATGGCCTTTACCAGAATCTGAAACATTCACAAACACACAATGGTTATGAACACGCACAAGAGCGGCTTTGTTGTTTGGAGCTTGTGCACAGAATAAATAACTGACTTCTTACACGTTAAGGGTTTGTTTTCTGAGGCAGAAACTGTGTGAATCTCAAAAGTCATTCACAGAAAAAGGGAAATCTCTCTTTAAGCTAAGAGTGCGTAATTTGCTTCTTGCGTGTTGTGATGTAGTTTTGTACAGAAACACGTGAGGAAGACATGTGTTTTAAGGAAAGACAGCTCCCCCTCTGACTGTTTATGTCTTTTAGGTCAATGCTTTTGTGATCAATGTAATGTGTGTTTAGAGCTTGTGGGAAATGTCGACCTCTGACAGAGGCTTCACACCGACCACAAACAGGTCATCTGATTAAATCAGTCTCTTTGTAAGATCAGCTTTTATTCAATCATGTGTTGACACAGTTTGGCATGACTGAAGCTTTTCCCGTGAGCACTCCAGTTAAATCTGCTGTTAACAGATAACATCTGGCTCATACCTAGTGTCTGATCTGCTTTAACAGTAAACAGTGGCATTGTCATGTACACTGAGGTTACTGTGCAGCAGGCAATTCTCTGTCCAACATCCATGCACAACTCCTGATTCAGTGAGGTGCACGTTTAAACCATTCCTTGTTTACTGTTAGTTATGAGCAAAGACACAAATCAATTAATATATAGGCTTAGAAAATAAAATGACATCAGTGTGTTTATTGTTAGACAGTGGCCATTGACAGGACAGGGGTCCTCAGTCGAGCTTCCTTTTTGTCATGTTCGTTTGCATTGTTACTTCTACTCGATGCCATTCCTCACTAAAGCTGTTTTTACAGTACAGAATGAACAGAAAGTTGGGTCTGGACGTTTTTCTTTCACGTATGACAAACACAGCAGGAGAATTTTTGGGTCAGATGCGTTCACAACAACAGGAAAATGTCCGATTCAGGCGATTTGTGGGGCCTGGGTAGAGCCTACAGGAGGCAGGACATGATGTATACATCTACTGCAGAGCTTTTGTTTACAGCACATTAAAACCAATATCACCAAAACCTCTTAAATATTAGGTCCTTCAAATTTGAAATCTTGGTTGGTGTTGTCTGTGTGTATAGTTCCTCTTCTCCATCCTGAGATATTTGTATTCTTTTCTTTTTCACACGGTTGCATTGTATTCTCCGGAGTAGGTTCTGCAGCATTCTCACATGGCTTCACTCAGACATTCTATTTGCAGGAGGAACTCCAGAGAGAATCTGGAGCACATGACTCAATGCTTTCTCACATATTGCCCCTCCAGTTAGAAGATTATCTGGAGGTCAGTGCATGTCCGAAAGCAGCTTTAAGCTGACCCAACTATGTCTAATGGTTGTGAAGTTGTAAATATGTGTTTGGCTCCTCATTTACATCCTGGGATATTTGTTTTCTTCCAGAAACATCATCAACATGGCCACTCACTTGCTGTGAATACTTTCGGATGATGCCAGAAGCAAATGATGTGCACATACAGCTGCTACAGAATATTTCAGGATATTATCTGGACTTACATGCATGTCTGAAAGCAGCTTGAGACACAACCTTGTCCTCAAACAAGACTCTCGGTCTCTGTGTTTGTCTCTGTGTTGCTTGTTATACTGTCACATTTATGGTGAACACAATGTTGTAGCTGTTGAGGAACAGCTACGACTCAGTGCTGCAGACTGTGTCAGTGTTGACACAACAGTGGACGCAGGTCACTGGGCTGTTTCTTACCACTGCAGAGAGGCTGGGGACAAACTTGACTGAATTCTGGATGTCTTCCTCCGTCACCTCCACCACAGAGCAGTGCTCCTCCTCCAGAGGCAAGGGGTCACTGCCTCCCTGGGTCACCCACTGGTCCATCTAAACACATACACACACACACATAAGTTGACTACACAATTAGCATTTTGACCAAAAAATTCTAACTCAGTTAATGATCACAACTGCTACTCCTTCACAATGATGATGATTCTAAGAGTTCACTTTCCTTCGTCATCATCCACCCAGTAGTTTACTGCTTCTCCTTATGAGCCGGTCCCAGCTGCGTCAGGCTGCCAGCGAACTATATCACAGTACCGACACATGGTGGCGATATAGACAAACATCGTGCTCATTTTTGTAGATATGGGCAATTGAGAGTTGATAATTGGGTTTGAACATGAAAAACCTTCTTGCTGTGGAGAGAAGCTGTGAGGTGATGGTGCTCATCACTGCACCACCACGCCGCCCTCTTTAATATCAATCAATCTGCTGGTGCTTTCCTGTCTTTGTGCAAGAGCGAGGTCTTTCATTTTTAGAGCAAGACATATTAATTTCAGGTGAACAAATTAAATGCCCCTTCCTCTTTTGTCGGTGTGTTCGCTTGACTTCTTTGAGAGACCTGTACAGGCGGTTACAAGGCCTGGGCGATATTCCTTCAAATCAATATCATTGAGGAAATTATTAACCAAATTAACTGACCCTAGTGGTTACTCACCATGTTCATGCACTCAGAAAAAAAATCAACGCACAGAAGAAAAAAATCAAAGGAAGGAGAAGAAATCCAAGAGAAGATGTTTAACCTGTGGATAGAATCGGCGTGAGGGGAGTTGAAGCTGGAGCGCAGGAAATCTGAGTATAAGCGTTCAGTTTGAGCACAAGCAGAGAAAATCTAAGCACATGCAGAGGCAATTTGAGTGTAAGTTCAGGGTTCGGATATATATATATATATACATAACAAAATCTTAACGAGAAATCGATAAGTCCTGCTCTGAAACTAAAAGACCACGCTGTTGAAATAAAACCCCCATACCAATTAAAATTTCCAGCAAACAAGGAAGACACCAGAAAATCTGTGAGCTTCAAATTAGTGGGCATCAATACATGTTGATGAAAAATCAATTGGAAGGGTCGGCTGTGGCTCAAAGTGCTTTAAGGTCATCAAGACTAGAGGAGCTCCAGATAAATACAGCGGTTTACAAAGATTTAGCCTGGAGGAAAGTTTTGAATGGTGTTCTAACGTGAAGCGACTTCTAGCTTAAGCTTGTGTTAATACAATAACTTGATTTCAACAATCAAGTAGTACACTACGCTCTAATAATCTATCAATCTCTCTGGGTTTGCTTCTAGCAGCTTTTGTAAAATAAATATGAGGCCTGGCAGCCTTGATATCTCCTGCTCTAGAGAGAAAATGACTCTCACATGATTAGTTTGTGTCATGGAAACACAAGATGGGGGAGAGGGGGGGCTGTCATCTGTTCATGGCTGCAGGTCCAGGACCTCCCTGCCCCCCTGACACGGACAGACTCATTTTCAGCCCGCTCCTCCACAGGGACAAACAGGCTACATCATGCCCTGCGGCGACACAGCATGTCTAATAAACCCTGCCGCACCGTCACAGCCAGGTTAGAGCCTCACAAGCCGATCAGTGCGGAGAGAAACCCGGTCTTGGGAAATCATCATTTCACAACTGCTCTGTTCTCTACACGTTACCTTGATCTCAGGGATGGTGATCCTGGTGTCTGGGTTCTTGTCCAGCATCCGCAAGATCAGAGTCCGCAGCTCTTCACTGATCTTTGGTCTGCATGAAACAAGATAAGGAGTGAGCGAGTGTAAAGTGTTAAAATAATAGAAACCAAAGGCATCAGTGGTCCTGTTTTAACCTGAATGTTTCATGCACTCTGGGGCTGCAACAATGAATCCATTAATCATTTAGTAATAGACTAAATGCATCAATAACAATTTCTAAGCCATGTTGGGGTTTGGGAAAAACAGACAATAATGGATTTATTATGAAAAGAATTGATCTATAATGATAATAATTGCAAATGCTGTGCTGATTCTGGACAGCATTATTTTGAGTAATTATTTACATAATCTATATTACATAGAAGACCAACGACAGACTTAAATCGAAATCCCTAAAATGTAATTTACCAACATTAATAAATACAGTAGAAAGATTAAAAGAATCAACTTGCAACCCCTCAATCACATGTTATGAATTCTTGAGTTGGGAACAATTCAACCAGAGTTTTCAAATTGACTTAAATTTTTTAGAGGCCACAGGTTTGAAAAAATAAATCAATGATCCAAACCAGTATTACAAGGTTAGAATGTTATTTTTTCTTACCACTGCTGTTTATTATCTCAGAGCTCAGAATAAGAGCTATTCAGAGACCTTATTAAGTGCCAAGACTTGGCGTGAGCAGCAGAGGCATCAGCCACATAGTTTTTTATTTAGGCAATGTATGATGGTAAAATGCAAACATATAAATAACATAAAGATAACTATAACATATAACAAATGAACATATGGGGGCCCTGAGGATCAAAACAAAGCAACAGTGATATACAAACATCTTAGACAACCTCCACAGATGGTTATCTTTAAATAGTTAATCTGTTTTTTTTTAAACATTAAAGATGTTGATGGATAATGTGCCAAAAAGCATATATTGATATTGTTAACATAACCATGGGGGAAATATCTTATAATTATATTTGGTATATTGAGGCATGATGGGTAGTCTTATTATGACAAGTTGTGAACAAAGGTGTGATCACCCACTTCCTGCCTTTAGAAAGATAACTCTACCATCACACAGTCCTTTCAGTCAGGTGATGATATCTGAGCAGCCAGAACAAATTATCATTATTCTATTTTCAGCAAGTGACAGACATGAGCAATTAAATTTGGTTCAGTCCAACATGTCCCTGATTGATGGGAGCAGACTGACAGCACAGTGACAGACAGTCTGAAGGGTCTGAATTAACCAACAGTCAAATTGTCGAATAAAATAGCGTTCAGTGGTGGAAACGGACTTATTTAAACATGAACAGACTTTTAGTCAAACGGTAAAAGGGTTTATTTTTTAAATTGGGATGACGTGTTGCTCCCTGTAATGATGTCTTCTTCAGATATTCTCATGCAGGGTAAATGTAAATCCTTGATTTTTGCTTTATCAAGTGAATTTTGGAACATGACAGCAGATAGAAATAAATGGTGGCGTGGATGAAGGGGTTCTTGAAGGCATCTGACAGGGTCTATGAGGGAGGCATGGTAGATGATCTACAATTACAATCACCTACTTAGTATCTCTGGAAATTCAAGTTTGTGTGATCATAATGGTAACAGTATAGCAACATTACATGCACCCACAGCATGGAGAGGATTTCAATAGCTGTGGTGTTAGGAGGGTGGTGTTTAGTGGAGGAGCTTTCAGCACAGCACACATTCTCTTGAGCCTGTGGGCGAAGACACTTTACCATCATTAATGACACGACACCCTTTACTGACACATCCTCCAACTGCCACTCAGGAACCCTTCACACGGGCTGTGTTTATACTTGAGTCTATCACCACGGCTCTTTCTAGCTTTTTTATCATCTCTTCTCTCTCTGTCTTTTCAACATAGATCTCCATGTTTCTCTTTAACCTTTCAGGTGGATGGAAGACTGGGCAAGCAGCTTGTATGTGTCCAGGCTGCTACACATGTTTGTTTTCTCTTTCTCCAGTGCTTGTTTTGATCACAGGCAGGTGACATTTACTGTGTGCTGGCACCGGCTGCTGTGCTGGGCTTCTTTTTCAGTTTATTTTGGAAGTGTAATTTGTAACCGTAAACGAGAATCAAATGCATCTGCGGCGGCGATGCACATGAGATGGATAGTGAGACGACCTCAGTGGCTGTTACGTCACCGCTGTCTGTTTTAATCAAGCCGGGGAGTGAGACGGACAAAGGAGGTGGACTTACACTTCTGGGAAATCCACAGGCTTGGACCTTATCTTGTTGTGCAAGGCCAATATGTACTCGTCAATAAACGGGCACTGCAGGTGGAGCAGAAGAAAGAGTGAGAAAACACAAGCAGGAACATTGAATTACTATCTGTGCCAGAAGAAAAAGTGTTTGCGAGAGACAAGCGAGACAAATAACAGCAGCTTGTGGTCTGCATTAAAATGAATGATGCCAATAGACTGGTGCAGAATCAAACATAAAAAAATTGGTGACTGATAGTGTCCCCACTGAAAGTGTCACTGTGGGCTGCTAACAAGCACTGTGAAAATGAGGAATTTCCAGCCTTTACTGTTACATTGTGTGCAGCAGACGTGACAGAGAGAGAGAAAATCTGCAGACTTGCCTTTCCGAAGACGAAACAGTAGAGAGTGACTCCCATGGCCCACACGTCCAGAGCCTGTGATGTTTAATGTAACACAGTGACAAAGTGAGATCCAAAGATCCAAACACCCACTTATATAAAAAACCATCACAGTGACATATATCGATATCGACTGTGATTTATGAGACATTTTCTGACCTTGAGCTTATTTTCTGAGCACGTCTACCATCAGATAACCTTGGAAATGAATGTGAATGATCAACAGAGGCACAACTATTCATCAGGCTTGTGTTCTAATTGCTCCATGTACTCCTGGAGTATTGAATATTTCACAGTTGACTTGCACAAAAATCACAAATGTTGGTGAATAGTAGACACGAAGCTCTCTGACATGTGGGTCGAACAAATCTAAATCAAGATGAATGCAGGAGTAATCAGAGAAAAAGTCCCACTTCAAAGCTCCAGGAAACACTAGACTCTGACATCCTGAAAGTGTTTTGTCTGCAATCAAATATTCTATTCTGGCCCTTTTATTATGGAGATGCAAACTCAGTCCTGGAGCAAATCCATCTGTATGCCTCTGGTGATGTAGAAAGGAACATGACTTTAACCGTTAATGCTGGAGATGAATAGCATGTCAGGGGTTGAGAACTCAGCCCTTGTTGTTAATCTTTCATAAATCAGCAGGTACGGTTGGACACACAAACCTCAAAACGTCTCTCATACTAAACAAAATATATTAACCAGTTCTACTACGTGATGAATAAAGTTTAGGTCAAAACACGGTATTGAGTGCCCATCAATCATGACATTTCATCCCGTTATCATAGCATCAACTGCGTAAATAAAAACTTAGTGGACAAATGGACACTTGAACATACATAGGTGTGATAAGACCTACCTAAAATGAAAGAAACCATCAATGAGAAAACATTTTATTAAATGTGCTTAAACCTTTTGGTTTGGTCCATGTCTCATCCACTAACATGGATGATGTTAACGACCTATATTGCAGCCAGCCACCAGGGGGAGATCGAAACACTTTGGCTTCATTCATCTTTATATACAGTCTATGGTCAAAACCTAATATATGGCTGGACCGAATATTGCAGAGATGCACGAATGGGCTCTTACATCATCCTCATCCGCACTTATGTTTGACTCATCCACCCATCACCCACTCGAAGGAATTATTTTCTCCAGTTTAGAGACCTGCAGCCTCATGCACATGTGAAAATTAAAACAACATCCACCGTGCTCTATTCCACTTTGCCTCAATGATGCGCCTGACTGAACTGTATGAGTGCTCACTCGCAGCGTTCATTGATGGAATGCACAAGATTCTCTTTGCAAGGTGCTGCAGCCATTGGAATGCGTGGCGTTGTTTCTCCCAAATTAAAGGAAATCATCTTCTGACGACTCGTCCAATTGGTCTAATTCACACAAACCAACCCATCTATTACTAATCAGAAATAGGTAAAAGTCTGCGGGTATTACTGCAATGCGTTCATCACCGGTGTATTGGCAATGTGTGCAAAGAGATGCACTGTCTTCTATTGAAATTAGTTTTGTCTAAAAGGTCATTGATAGATTTGTTGCTGGGTGCTTTTTGGCAAAACCCCAATTATTTCAAGGGTGGCAGCCAAAGAGGAATCTCCAACCGTCAGCTGGTGTGACCTCATCAGCCAAGGATGATGTGAATCTTTCCTACATGTATGTAAACCTGATAGCTTTGCTACCCTTCTTTACTCTGCTAGTATCTTTGTTTTCAGTAGGATTCCAGTCGTGAATAGCAGCTGCAACACAAAGAGGAACCTACTGACAAAGACAATCTGCGCCTCACATTAACAGGCCAGCAAAGGTCTTGGTTTACTGGTTCTCATATTCAAATCAGCAGCTGCTGTAACCACACAAGTTTAGACTCACAGACACACGCACCAGACAAACACATATAAAAGGACTGTAACTTACTTTTCCACTGAAGCTCTTGCGCTGGTCTGACAGAGTCTCTGGGGCCATAAAGGCTGGAGTGCCGGCCGTACTGGACAGCAAAGCATCGTTGCCCTCAAACTGGTTGCTAACCCCAAAGTCTGCTATCTTCACATGGCCGTCGTCCCCCAGTAACAAGTTGGAGGGCTTGATGTCCCTGTGGACAATCTTCTGATAGTGCACTGAGGATGAGAAAGAGGAAGTTGTTCACCCAGTTTTTAGAGCCACTTTAAAAATGTACTACTACTAACAACAACAATAATAGGTTTTACTAAAAAATGCATAATACACATAATTAACAATGATTGTGTTATTATTATGTTTTGATGTTATATTGTGAGTTCTGAGTGACCGGGGTGATGACCATGTATTTAACCTCTGTGGGGTCATTCTCAAGCTCACTGATATCACACTTGGCCTCATGTGATTTCACTTGTTAGATGGATTAGTGTATCAGTAGCATCTTCCTGTATTTCGCTTATTTAGTCCAATGGTTCCAAATGTGGGGTTGTGTGATGATTGATGGAAAACCAAAGTAATTGCTTTACAAATGCTTCACTCTTTTGACTTTGGACCATTAAAATTGTTGGAACTACAGGAAGATGCTACTGATGCACTACTCCATCCATCTTGTCTTGTGTAGACAACTAACATTTTTGGGCTCATCTAGATGAAACTAACTGAGGTTTAGTGAACTTGGAGCAGACCCCACTAAGGTGTCACAAGCCAAAAATGTTGAGAGCAGTTTTAATATTTAAATTGTAATTAACAGCCGTCTACAGCTAAGCCCTGGACACTTGACTGATTGGATAAATGGTGCTTTCATGTCTGAAGAGGTCTTATTAAAACACGGGGCTCTTGACTTATTCAAAGCCCTGGCAATTAAACATGGTTTACTTTTAATGATACTTCAATTAAAGGAAAGAAGTAAGCTACAGAAAGACAACTTAGATTTATAATTCAGGCTACTTTAGGTTTTAGAAGACAAGATATGCCACTATTTCATTATTTTCCATTATCATATAAAGGGGTTTGTTATGGAGCCTGTACATGATTGACATTCAATAAATAAGAAAGCATAAAATAGTCATATGCATAAATTGTACAATGAATTATAAAACAATCATGTGTTAAACAGTTAAAGAGATCAAAACATGTCATATAAAGAATTAGAAAAGTATATTTCTAGTTCTTGTTTGAAGGAATCAGTAAATGTTTCCATGAAAGATTTTCTCTGAGCCCACCTTAAACAACAGCAGCTGCATAACACATGCTCCTATACTTTTAGATTAAGAGGTTTAGTTACTGGGCCTGTGCAGAGAGTTGATCAAGAAAAACCTTTGACGTCGTTGTTTCTTAAGACAACTGTTGCTACTATTGCTAACAACAAACAGTATACAACATTATCAGACATTTCAAAAAGGATATGTTCAAATCAAATGATCTAATTAGAATAGTATAAAATAAAACCTGTTTGGCACATATTTTATATCACATAAATTGTGACTGAGCCTAAAATCTGACTGCTGATGCCTGAGGTGCATGAAGTGTAACCATTCATAACACAAATAAAAACTCTCTGGAGCTCAGAAGAAGGCAGGCCTGATCTATAATCATTAGACTCATGGCCCAGTGAAATGGATTGAGTACAGAGAATGAGGCCACAGCTTGAGAAAAAAAAAAAAAACATAAATTCACTGAGCAGAGGCTCGATACTGATGATGTGGACGGCTCTCAACTGCAGCCAGACCCCAAGGACATGGAGAGATGGTCAAAGAACACTTTATTCCTCGAGATGTAAAGGAAAATACAACCATGTTATTCTTTTTCTTTAAGATTGGTGAGACAGCAAACTAAAGGAAAGACGTTAGTCCAATAATTCTGCTTTAGACTTTGAGCATCATAATGGGAATCATAAAGAGGCTAATTTAATGCTTTCGTGACCACTAGACGAACTCAAACAAACCCGTCATGCAGAAGATACTCACAGTACTCTATACCCAGGATGATGTCTCTGAAGTATAACCTCGCCTGCTCCTCTGAAAAAGCATCGTCTGTGGGCACTTCCATCACTGGACTTGAAATCCATGCAGGCAGACAGGCAGTATAGAAGACACACACACAGTGAAGCAGTCAAGTCCACAGACATTTGTGCAATAGTTATTTCATCAATTATTTAATTAAACTAATATTTGATTGATATTCACAGACCGACCACAGTGAAAGAAAGTTTGCGTGTTTGTGGGAATCTGAAACACAACAGTTCAGTATCTTTTTGTAAGATTTTGTTGTTTAATTATTGCATCACTCTCTTTCACCATGCACCAATATCAATATTAAAAATATAAAAATCGTTTATTTATAGTAACCCTCCCTGAACCCATTTATATGAAACCAAAGGAATCATAAAATTTGAAGCAAATATCAACAAATCTAAGAATGTAGACATGTGCTGAAGAAACAGTGTCTGCTCCAACCAGGGTCATGTTGACCTTCAGAATATATCATTTTTTAATACCAAGTAGTCAACACTCAGTTTCAACTAGTTTACTTCAGATGAAATTACAAGTCCATTGACACATACTGAATTAACGACAATATACTATTAGTTTAAAATCAACTTGTGTCAGCTTTTAAAGTTGGCTTGTTTGGTAAACTTAAGATTTTTTTTGGTTGGATAAAATACGACATTTGAAAATGTTCACTAGGGCTTCAGGGAAAATAGTTTTTCTGACATTTCAAACATTAACCAGTCAACTGCTGGTTAACGAAAAATAATTTTCATGTTGAACTGAAAGTAGTTACTAGATTTTAACACAGGGTCACTGTACAGGAGCAAAGTGAATGAAGTATCTGTTTGTCCATTTATTGTTGTGGTGAAAGTTTCTAAAAAATGTCATGATTAATTTGCTCATGTAAAACTAACTGATATAGACTAAACCTGGAGCTTTCCAGGCTCTGACCTTTCTCAGTCAGTCTTGATAAAAGCTCTTGAGAAATGAAAAATGCCCTTTACAATTTGCCAAAGCCTGTGGTAAAATACAAACCGATGCAAAACTGGAATCATCTAATGTTTGAAGGGTTTTCATAAAAAATGAAGCAGTCTGTTTGGAAATATATGAGTAAACAATTCCACAAGGTGCTCTCTGGTGCAGGGCCGACACATTTTGATGCTAAAAATATGTTGTGGCAAACTAATAAAGGCTTTTTAATTTTTCCACAGCAAAAGGGCCCTCTGTTCATCAAACAATTAATATCTTCTGTGAATGGGAGGTGATAGATTTACAATCTAATTTCAGCCGCGCAGCACCAGTGGTGAATTTAGAATTGTCTAAATCAAGGGCCATAAAGGAGCCACAATTTACACAGAGGGGCCAATTATATGTTCAACGTCATTGTGCAATTCCTGATTCAGTAATGTGCACATTTAAGTCATTCTCGTTTACTGTTGAGCAAAGCCAAACATCATTGAATGTATTTTGAAAATTGTTCCTTGTTTGAGCACATTGCATTCTTCAAAAAAGGAAAATAAACATTCATTCTTAACAAATTGTCATTTATAGTTAATATTGCTTTTAGATGACGATTAAAAAAAACAAACTACTGACAAGACAGGGACACTTCCTAGGCCATTTCAGCCGGGGCCAGTACCCTCCTGGCCCCACCCCTGTTCAATGCATTGTCAATAGAAATAGATCATAGAACTAATAATGACCAAGGGTACAAATAATAGTCCTGTGGGTTAGAAGTTGTTGAACAGAATCAGCAACTAGTGGCACCATCTGGTATCAAAGCAGGAGTAAAATAATTAGAAGCGTAAATTATTTTATGAGCAGAAGACGACAGATTAACAGTAGCTGCATTAATCAGCTCAGTCTGTCTATCATCTCCCTCCAATAGGAAACAACAGATCAGGCTCATTATGAGAAAGCAAACATTCAAACAGAGCACATGTTCTGTATTAAAAGGGCAGATTGACATATTTATGAACACACTCCATTTGTTTAGAACAAGAGAAGGTCTCAGATCATTAGATCGTCACAGATTTTTAGTGGTGCAGGAAGGAGCAGCTCATGCATGAGGACCTGAAACATCGACAGGGCGGACAGCCACAGGTAGTACTGTGACAACCTTATAACATTAACAATCCATTTGAAGCCTGGAAACGGAACAAACAGCTGCACCGTGTCAGTGTGGAGTAATGAAGGTGAACCCTGAAAATCCAGGCGGGGATGGAGAGGTGAAGAAATGAAGAGTGGAAGGTAGCGGAACTGCGGGATGAGCTTTAAATTATTAAAGAAAGAGAGGACATGTTCTCTACTCACCCCTTACGCATCAGCTCAAACACTGTCAGGAAAAAGGGAGAGAGGAGGAAATAGGAACATGTCAGATTAAACATTTTATTCATTCATTCATCCAGCGGGCTTTGACCATTGCTGCCACAGAGGCAACATCCCAGCATCAGTGTTACTCATTATCAGAAGCACTGAATTGGCTAAATGTGCCATAATAAGGTATAACACTGACGGTCATCTTAGCTGTGACCTGGCACTGCTGATGGAGGATTTCTGCATAATGTGCGAGCCCTGAGGTGGTGAGCAAGAGATGATCTGAATTATAAATAAGTTATGTGAACATTTGTTGGTGGCATGTGTGTCAAGGACTGAGAGGGAGAATATAGAAAGCAAAGAAAATATGATCTGCATACCCATGTGAAGGTTGTCTTCTGCAGGATCATCCAGCACCTGCAACATGAACATAATCATCATTAATGGAGAAACTATCAAGGCCCTGTAGTAAAAAAATTAAATGAATTCATTCCGGACCAAAACATTGCAGAGATTAAAGGTATTTTCTTTTCTTTTTTTGTTCACATTACCGCAATTGACACTTGGTGCATGGCCGGATTAACCTGCTGCAGGGCCCCTGGGCAAAGGGAAGTTGCTGGGCCCCCTTTTATTGCCAGTGTGAAACATATACTGTAAATAAAGATGGACGATGTAACAGCTCCCCACATAGGAAGCCAAAGTGTCTCGATGGTGGCAGGCTGCAGTATCGGTCATAAGTCAATTTTAGTGGAAGGAACAGAGAGCAAATAAAGAAGTCAAAGTACAAGTTAAATAAAGCTTTCTCAAATGTGGGTTTCTGTTATTCAAGTGGTGATTTACGTAACAGCTGATACTGGCTCATGTATCAGCAGGACCTCTACAGTTGATGTTATGTAGAGTTTATGAGAATAGAGAACTGTTTGAGAGATTTGCCAGGTTTTGTGTAAAGTTACAATGGTTACAGGTGTCCATCACGAGGTGACCAGCTTATTAGGTTTTGGAGCCAATCATTTTGCTCCTGGGTGGTTTAGGTTTTGAAAAACTCTTAACCTTTAATAAATGGGATGATCATTTAAAATAGAGCTGTTACAATACCAGCAGACATCGACAGACAAGTAAGCACATCTACATTTGATTAGAGTAAATTTGTTCACCCAGATAAAACGTTCTTGTCTGGAAATCACTTCTATGTCGCCACTCTAAAGGAAGTAGCTGTGTAATCCTAGATTTATCTATTTGTGTTCTTTTTCAGTTATGACTGTAAAACTAAAAGTAGTTCTATTTTATTCATTCTCTGAATCTGTTTTTCAAAAGGTTTTGCCTGAGCCAGGCCATACAACAATGATCACGTCTGTACAGGGTTAGCAACAAACAGTTATTAAATAACATTAAAGAAGTTGCTAACCCTAACCCCTGTGCACCTGTATTGAATCGGTTCTCTGTATCGGCCGATACCCAATGAATGTTATGCCTTGGTAGTGATATTTCATACATGTGAAACTAGATGAACAAACCAGTTGACACAAGCTAAATCGATTACATCACAGCAGCGCAACTAGATTGTCCTATTATGAAGGCTCCTTCAGATGTTTCCTTTCATCCCAGAGAAACGACGGCTCCAAAAGGTGGATCCTTCTCGGGGCCCACAAACTATTTTTCCAAGAGGCGAAGTCGCCAGCAAACCCAAAGCTTAAGTATCAGGCTTCAACTCAACTGCTAACTGGACACATGCTAAAACACAAAGGGGCATTAAAACTTTCTTGTGTCCAACATCACCTCTGTTGCTAGGGGACAGCAGTTATGGTGGTACAAGCTGGTGTCACCAAACACGGAAATCCTCTGTAGACCTCTCATTTTGGTTAAGCCTTCGTGGTCTATATAGTCCCTGAATTGGGACACAGAGCAAACATGGAGTTTAAAGGCCCTGGGCAGTTGCCTGTTTGGATAATTCATCCACAGCCAGGTTAATAAACTAGGTGTTCCCACTGTGTACAAGGCAACAGCTCCCAACTCAAACCACAGGACACACTGTCCATCTGTCTAAATACAAGATCCTGGAGAATTTCAATGATCACAGTGGAAAAAACGAAAAAACGTTTGCCAAGGACACAGTAATGGAAAAACAAGGGCAGGACATCAGTTCTGAGGAAACAGGAACACGACTAATGCCAGTTTCAAGCCATTAAACAGTCAATAAGTGAATGTTTGCTCAACAGCTTGTATGCTTAAATAAATACTGTCCATATTCTCTCTTTGTTGAAAGTGAAAGGACAAATAAAAGCTATTAACAGTAAATAAGCTGTTGTGTGCAAAGTGGAAACCATTAAAAGTCTTTTTAATTTGTAGATTTTGACTAATGCATGATGTAAGACCCATTAAAGGGATCTTTAACTTCCGGGGAAAGGATATAAATTGAGCTCTGGATTTTAAATGTCCACTCTTAAAGCATGTGTGCATGCGAGTATGGGGCCAGTTGTCAACATCTCTTTCCCACCATCTGCAACTAATGACCATATCACTTTCATCAGTTTTAATATGTTCCACTTGGCGCCGGCTCTTATGTTTCAAAATGAGCGAAAATATCTATTCATAATTAGATGGACTGGACTCCATCCTCACAGGAATCAGTTGGATGCCTGTAATGAATGTGATCCTGACCCAGGCACAGCCCATTTAAACGGATGAACAGAGAGAGATGGAGAGAGCGTGCCTTCCCTGTGCCTACGCACGCCCATTATGTGAGTGAGAGTGAGGGTGGACAAAAGAGGGAAGAGATTAATGCGTGTGTGTGTGTGTGTGTGTGTGTGTGTGTGTGTTTTCTCTGCTGGAGCGAGCACAGAGGAGTAGAAGTGCTCAAATTTTATTTAAAACTCTGGCACACTGCTGGCACTCTCTCCACCAGAACTAGCCAGGCAGCTTTCCTACCGACTGACTCCCTGAGCTTAACTCCAAGCAACATTGGCTGCCATCGCCGCCCCCCTCCCCTCCGCCATCTGGCCAAGATTGAAATTGCTCTGATAATATCGCAGAGGAGCGGCAGTCATCTTGAATCACATCTCTAAAAAACAGCTATCGTATTTCATAAACAGCCGCCTCCGCAAAAAAACGCCAGCAATCCAACTTGGAAATGTCTCTTAAGTTTGAGGGAGTGTTGGTCGTTGTAAATATAAGAATCAATTTACAGGCTGGAAACTGTGGATTTCCAGAATGTGTCACCTGCATATCATGAAGGTCCAAGGGGAGGAAGTGTGATCGATATGCTGGAGGGTAAAACTCATCTTGTATTTCCTGGCAGAACAGTGTTTATCCTTCTCTTTGGTCTGATATAATACAAAGCATGAGTCAGGGTACACAGCAAGTAAGGATAGATGGAGAGGAAGAAGATAATCTCAGTCACAAAACCTCGAACAAAACATATCCAGACACAAAACAACAGAGCTGCATGTTGCATCTGGTTGTTGTTTTGCAACTCATTGTTTTGTCATTTGGGAATTTTTGTGTCATACTTTGGTCGTTTAATGTCTCTTGTTTGCATCGCTTTGTGTGTTTTTGCCACTCTTACAGGTTGCTTTGCATCGCTTTGCAGGCGCTCTGCATCCCCTTGTCTTTGTTGTGTGTCAGTTTGTTGATGTTGTGCATCTCTTTGTAGTCATGCTGCATTTCTTTGTTATAGCTGTGTGTCAGTTTGTTTTGTTTTGCATATTGTTTTGTGTCTCTTTGTATCAGACTGCATCTCTCTGAGGCCGATTTTAATCAGTTTGTTGTCGTTACTCATGTTTTTGTGGTTGTTCTGTGTTGACTTTCCAACAACAAATGTTGACACCCATGATACTAACAAACCAGCCACCTCTTACCCACTGAGTTTGGTAGAAACAAACTTTCATGGTAATTCATGTGTAAGAAACTTGGTTTTAATATCACATTTCTTAACAAATTCATTAAAAAAATTAAGCATGTCATGGGTTGAAAATGCTTATGTTCAAAGTGAACATTGCCATCATACTACTTTGCCACTAACGTGGCTAACAACTGCTAGTCATTCTCATCAAAGTATCCTTCAACCTGTGCTGTAACTGATCCTTCATTTTAAATAGGTTGATAATAAAAAACAGGAAAATACTTTCAAACCTCATTTGACTAATCTGCTGCATCAATGTAAATACAAACACTCAGACTATTTGCTGACGGAGAAACTCTCACCTCCACCAGCTTGACAATGTTGATGTGGTCCAGTTTTTTAAGGATGGCGATCTCTTGGTAGACCCTCTCCAGGGGTCCTAAGATTTTGGGCTGCTCCCCTTGGGCTGCCTTGGGTCCTCTTGGGGGTGGGCGACCTGCAGACAACCACATAAAGCACAAACACAACTTCTCTCAATGATGTAATTGATCATAAATACATTTGACAAAAACAGAGACAGGAGTTTCTCTAATGTGTTAAGAAGAAATTTAAAATATGCAGTGGGGAAACTGTGGTGGATCTCCTTAATAATAATAATAATAATAATAATAATTATATATATATATAGTAGCTGGAAAGAGATCTGACAAGTGTGTGTCTGACATACTAATAAAAAAATAGTTTTTTCATAGTCTCAGACATTGAGAATCATTTAAAAAACAATTTTAATGAGTAAGTGGGAATAAAAGAGCTGAAAATAAAGATTGCACCCATTTACCACCATTTTGTTTAGTTTATAGATCATTTAGATTTTGGTTTGTCAAACTCCACGAAGCTCTAACAGCAGAGCATTCTAATCAAACTCTGGAGTGAAACACTCATTTTGTGAACACAGATAAAATCAATGTTCAGAACAAGATTGAAAAGCTATACGAGTTTAGTATTACCAGACCAACAGTAATATGTTACAAGCTTAGCACAGCTTTAAGTGGAAGCACAAATAGCAAATTAATTAGCAGTATCTCTCAGACCCTTATATTCTCCAAAGGTCTGTACTACGAAGCGAGCTCAACATACCCTGGATATGTTGGAATTTCCCCAGTGTGGGATGAATAAAGTCTATTTTATCTTATCTTATATCATTCCAAGATCCCGAAAAGCGCAAATCCAGCTTCTGAGTCCAGGGCCCTGATGTCCATCCTGTAGGAGGATGCTAGAGCTGCTCTTCCTCTCGCTCTATGAAATGTGCCGGCTGTATGTCGTCAGTTTTTTGAAACCAGAGGCCTGTTTTCAGTCCTACAAAGCTCGTTCAATTTTTTATCAAGGTAAATCACCATGGTAAGTTATGCTGAATAGACAACCTGCTCCAGAGAAGTTAAGATTGATATAGAAGATAGAAGAAGATTGAGAGACCAACTGTATAAAAGCATCACTGTTCTTAGAGGATCCCATGGAGCAAAAAAAACAAAACAATCCTATAGAGATTGGTGCAGGTTGTTAGAGTCTCTAAGGAGGACAAGGGTTTGATGAGTATTTTTATGAAAAATATAGATTCTCATCGGAGGGAATGATAAATCTTCGTCAGCTGCTGGAGCCGAACATATGTAGAAGCAATACGCTCACAGTAACAGACTGTCTGCATTGTCCTGCCTTTCTTTGATTGTGGGAGTTACTTGCAAACTGTGAGTGATGCTGCTGTTTATTTTGTTGAGCTTGAACCCACCAGGCTCGAACCCAAAAGAATAAAGAGGAAACCGTCGAACCCTTAACAAGTTGATAACCAGCCTCGTGTGACTGCTTAGCCTGACTGCATTTGTTAAGTTCAGCTGGATAAAAAAATATATGAAAGATATCCAGGGTATGTTGAGCTCGCTTTGTAGTACAGGCCCCAGGTCCACTTCCAACATAATTTTGCAATGCACCTGTAATCTGCTGAACATGATTTTACTCCTCTGGAGATTTGAGAAATCACATATCAGTGCACTGATTGTCAGACCTCGTATGGAACTGACAAATAATTTTTTGGCATTCCACCTAATGTGACACGTCTTCATAGCTCGATGTATTATTATAATTATAATTGATGAGCACACGTATAGAGTTTGGGTCACAATTTTCAGTATCTGGAACAAACAGAGGCATTTGAGGTGTCTTATGTCTGTGGTCAAGTCCTTAGTGTCAAAGCAGAGTCCTGCAGTGATTTCAAGTTGTGTAAAATAACAGGTAGAAAACACATCCATGTAAACTCACGGGTGGGGTACAAAATAACTAAACGTGGGCAACAAAGGGTGAGAATCTAAGTATGCTTTTTTTACTGTAGAAATTACAATGATTCTGATGATTTTAACATCTAAACCAGCTTCAAGATGAAACCTAGTCTGTGACAAGGATTTGTTTTCTTGTGAAAGCCTATGACACCATCTTTGTGTTTATTTAAGTGTCAACACAGACAGCGAACTAGAACAACTAAATAGATCACGTAAAGAAAACAATAAGCTGGCAGTGAACAAGTTCTCAGGTTGTAGAAAGCGCTAATACAACAGGCGCGTTGCTAAGAAAAACACTGACAGCTGCAGGGGCAGAGGTGCTGCGACAATCGACAGATACTTTTACAACTCAACCACCAAAGCAGGAGGACGAGCAGGCCTTAATGTGAGTGACTGTATGTGGCATGTGTGATTAGTCCCGGATGATGTGTCAGGTCACGGTACATATGTTAACGGGAATGGCACTTACGTGGAAAACCACACTGCTTCATTAACTTCTTCTTGGACACCACCTTCATGGCCTGGGGGGAAAACAGTGTGATCAGTATTAAGAGTGAGAGAAGCTTAAGTCATTAATCACAAATCAAGAATTTATATAAACTAGACCTGTAAGCACATTTACCCATGAACCAACATTAAATAAATGTTTAGATCCAATGTTATATAATTGGGTCCTTGAGGGCTGTGAATAATCAACAGAGCATTCTGAAGATTTTTTTTTTTTGCACTGACACAACCTTCAGCACTTCAGCAGTTAGATCTGTCATCTATTTAATTTCCTTGCAGGAGGTCAGGGAGTATCTGTACAGCCTGCGGCAATGGAACCTTCTGATTGATTTTTTTCAAGGAACTCTGTGTGTGTGTGTATTTGTGTGCTTGCATGTTTATTTGTGTGTTCAGGCATGTGTGTGTGAGTCTGCATGTGTGTTTGTTTGAGAGAGTCAATGTGTGAAAAGTCCCGAGGCGAGGCACTGGTTATCCAAAGGAAGAGGAGACAAAGTAAATCAGAGTGTCACTCAGTAGAGCACACAACTCCACCAAGGCCCAACAAAGTGCCTTTCAAATAAAATCAAGCTGCACCAAATTTCACACACTCCTAAACATGTGCTCTATCTCACAATGTTAAAGAAAGAGATAAACAATTCCTGGATATTAGTTTTGTAATCTTAATTACAACCAAACAAACCAATCAACCAACCAACAATCAAGTGGACAGGGGTGAAAACACAAACCTGATGGACCTTCCTCTAAAAATACTAGAACCCCTCCAGTGTCAGACAGCCATCAGCTGTGTAACAGAAATGATCTGGTCTACAAAGGATTTCCACTATCAACGTCACCAGTTCGTCCCGCCTTTATTGCTGTTGCCTAGCAACAGAGCTGAAGCTGGACATATCAAAGTTAGCATTACATGTTATATTGACCTCAATATCATACTAAACAACTATAATGGAATTGATGGTGTCTTGTTCTCTTCCTGCTAACTTAAGAGTGGGGAACTGCAGGGTGCTGACATAAAGTTGATGAACTCATCCAAAGTACAAAACAATCATTAAAGCATTCATTTAGTGGCAGACCTTATCAACGCTTAGGACATCTGTTTCTGATCTCCTTCCGACCAGATAATATCAAGAGCATAAAAGCTGCTCACAGAGAGAGAGAGAGAGAGAGAGAGACTTTGTCAATCTCAGGCAGTCTCTTTGTGACTCTGGCTCTGTGTTGGTCCCTTTGCAAAGGTTTGAAGCTTCTTATAATCAAATATACAAGGACGGGTCTGTTGTGCGATCATTGTGATTTCCACCACACAACAAAAACTAATTTGTGTAAAATATTGATACTTCAAACATGTTTAATACAGCTCAAACTGCCTGGGTTCAAATCCACCCCAAAGAACACAGATGCATACATAAAAAAATCATGTTCATTTTATGTTTAGACAGTTGTCCACATTAAATTAGGAAAAGTCATTGGCAGTGAAGACGCACATGTTTCAACAATTTATCTCCTTCGTGGGCAAAGTGCATGAAGCAGCCTCCAGGAGCTCCTGGGCTAATGAACCACTTCAGGCTGACTGTATAGATCCTCTATAAACAGACTGACTAAAGGCTAAACAACCCATAACTCCTCTCTCTGTAGAAGAGCATGTTACTCACAATACTCCCTCAGAATGAATGTCAGACAACATTACATTCATCTTTACAGTGTTCATCTCCATAAAACTATATCAGATATATTCTCTGACCATCACTGTGTGTGTGTGTGTGTGTGTGTGTGTGTGTGTGTGAGCATGTGGGTGTCTCCAGACTTCTCCAGGAAGTACTTAGCGTTCATTTAAGTGATACTGCAGACTCAAATGTGTTTTTCTGAGCTATGAACTATATTTATGACTGTTGCGATTTATGCTGAAACTAAAACAATACACCATCACATGATATACCATTCAGTGACATCTAACATCCTCTGCTGCACCTCAGCTGTCTCTCTTTCACAAATACACATAATTTGAACCACTGGCTGAGACAATCGCCTGTGCGAGCATTCCGAACAACATGGGACCACTATGCTCAGACCCGGTTAAACCTGTCTGTCGGCTGTGTCGACGGTAGGCGTGTCTCAGTCTTGCCTCATAGCACGGCCCCTGAAGCATTTAATGAATTTCCAGGGAGACGCACCTCAGCATAAGGTGAAGTTATTCTTGAAATGGAAAGACTCTGCAAAAGTAGACTGCTAAACATATCTGCTAATAAGTAAGCTCTGTACATTCATCTCTCTTTTATTTGAGAAGAGTTATTGAATTAAGTTTACGTCAGCCCCCTGAGGCTGATAAATACCATCATCACCAATGGATGCCTGCCAGTCAAGTTGTGAGTGTGGTAATAATAAAGACACCACAAACACACGCGTGATTCAGAGACCTCTACTAATCTGTGGAATTGTTGAACAATGAAGCCTGGTCCCCAACACCCACAGCAAGAGGATGATTGTGTTAATACATAGCACTGGGACAAATTAGTCATCGTTTTATTTTCATCCTGGCAAAAACATTTCCATTCAGTTTAAAGATGACCACTGCTGCTTTATCCACATAATACTTCAGCTGCGTTTCCCTCACTTTGTGAGGAAAATGAGGAGAAATCAATATGTGATACATCTTGATATAGAATGTAAAACTATTTCAGAACAGTCATCTCTGTATTTTATATATATACACACAATTTCCAGCTCATAGGAAGATGGTGAATACAGGGGAAGTACTTGAGCCTGCAGGAGCCTGTTTAGTTGTAATCGTTCCAGTGCATGTTATCTGTATGTGTGTGTGCGTGTTGACATTGTGCTGCTCCGTGTGGAAAAATCCAATCAGCTCTACGTGAAACCAATTCAGACTGTCAGGAAATAGGACCAACCTTTCACACCACCATTACTCAGCTGGTCCTCTCCTGATTCCTGTCAGTGTTACTGCAGATGAGTCTGTTATTGAGAAGGAGTGCAATATATTCTGCCCCCAGAGGTTTCTATCAGCAATAAACATCAAATATAAAGCCAGGAGTACAGATGGAAAGTAGAAATGGTAGATACATGCACAGCAAACCTGAAAGCTTGCAATACTTTATGTGGGATGGATGGGAAAGGCAATGGGTAATAAAAAGAGAGCTGCATTGTGTAGTTTTCAATCTAACTTTTAGATTTTTGATAATATTCAAGTTCAGACTGAGTGAAGAGGAATTCACTGATGTTAACAGAGCACAGTGAGATCACAAATAACTATCAGGTTGTGTTTAGCTCTGAGCTCCCCACTGGCTCCAGTTCAAAAGTACATGTTAAGTCTACATGACTCACCAAAACACTTTCATTGTAACTGCGCAGGGCAGTTCAGTTATGTTAAAACATAAATCAGCTTTTGTGCAGAGGGGCTGAGGTCGCAGAGCTTTAATGGGAAACAAATCACCTTAATAGAAGCGCCTGACACGACCTCATGTCAGCGTGTCAAAACTTCAAACCCAGATTCTCCCAAAGCAAGAGAAAAACTGATTTCACGAGAGTTGACTCTTAGATGCTCCTTTAGTGGCACATTTCTGTGACTGATGCAATTTGAGTGGACGGGATGCAGAGCTGAGCAGCGAGGTTGAAGGGGAAAGAGCAAAATCAATAGGCTCGGTGGGATCCTGCAAAGCTGCTCTGTCTAGACAGTAGCTGCAGAGGGAATGGATGAAAAACACAAAGGAGAGCGGTGGCTGCGTGGTACGGCGACAGCCTTTCAGACGTTCCTCTGACAACAGCTGAAATGTAAAGCAACTGCTTTGACTTACATAATGTTTGTCATCGTCCTCGTTGTAAGCGAGTTTGACCACACCGTAGGAGCCCTGCAACACAACAACACAGACATTCATATTCATGTGGATGGATACAACATACAACACATCATTAATTATCATTCAGTGCTACTTTTAAGGTTAGATCCACATTTATGGAACCCCACATATTTAATATGAGATAGACAGAAGTGACAGTAAGACATCATATTAACAAACGGTGTAAATAAGTAGTGAGAGTGGAATTAATTAATAACTATTAAATCTCAACTTATAATGAATGAAAATAGTTTCATGATCTTTTTTTAAAGGATTTTATTTTATTTCATCGTGTTATCCGGAAAATATAAGCAAACATCTGAAAATAGTATTTTAAAATAAAAAAAATTCTGAAAAAAACTTGAGGGATTAATGAGACACGCACACACACAAATGTTTCTTCTTGATAAGTGCACACAAGAACCACTAACTGCTTTTAAAGTCGATCACATAAATGAAACAAACCAAGTTACATCATCTCTGAAGACTCTGACAGCTAAAAGTGCCAGCTGCCTCAGAACAAATGACTCAGCATTTAAATGTCCTTCAAATTATGTTATGAACAAAAATCAGTTTTTCGCCAAGAATTGTAAAAATTGAATTCATCCAGACATTACCATACACGATCCATGTTTAATCCATTTCTTACCCTTAAAGGTTCAGAGTGTAGAATTTAGTGACATCTAGTGGTGAAGTTTCATGTTGCAGCTGAATACCTCTCACTAGGGTTATTTGCTATAACTAAATTGGTACTGGGGTTCTGATGCATTTAAAATGGATAAGACCGGTACTTTAAAAAAATTTTTTACATCGCCGCGTGACGTCACCGCGTACCAATTTGAGCCGAAGCGAGCAAGCCGGGGGAAGCAGGCGAGCGAGTGAGCGAGCAGCGCGGAGCAGGAGTCTGGCGATAGAGAGAGATAAATGAGAGAAAGAGAGAGAGCGACAGGAGCAGAGAGAGAATGGCAGCTGCTGCAACCATTATATACCCATGAAAAAAAGCCACATTCAGTGCTAAAAGCAAGCAACGCCAGCCCCCTTCACTCTCCACAAAAGTAGCTCTGGAGAGAATTTAAGCCTGTCTTTGTGGTATTTTATTTTATTTACTGATGCATAATGTTATAGTTCTAAGATTTTCAATTAAAATAAAGTCAATAATGACATTTTTTGTGTTCTCTTTTTATTTCGAAAGTACAGAAAAGTATCGAAATACATGTTGGTACCGGTACCGATACCAAAATGTTGGTACCGTGACAACACTAGTCCAGACTGGACAAACTAAACACCTTTTGAGTTTTAATGACAACTAAAGGCTACCAGAGTTTGTTTTTCATGTTTGGAAGGCGAGGGTGAGGCGAGGGGTGTTCAGCTGCAACATGCAACTTCAACACTAGATATCACAAAATTCTACACACTGTACCTTTAAGTCTGGTACAGTCTACAGTCTTTAGTCTAGTACAGTAACATAGCAATATGATACGTTTTCGGGAGCTCTTCTTCTACTTTTTCCTTGTTCAGTCTTTTGGCAGGTGGCAACGGACATCATAGTGCATCCACTGACTTGGTGCACTTTTCCACCTTTTATTTTTTTCTCTTGAACATGGAAAAGATGTTTGAAAGAAAGGAGAGGAAGCCACGCTTTTTGCAAAGGCGTCTTTTCAAAGAGGAGACAATTGATTCCTCAAGTTCTGGCTCACTTAAATGAAAGGCAAACAGCAGGTTATGAGGTTTCCACTTCTTACGCAACTCCTTGAAAATGGCTTTGTCAAGGTCTTTGATTATCTCTGGGTTAACAGTTAAGTTAATGTCTTTGACCTCCGCCCATATTCCTTCCAGCAGTTGATGACTTATGTTCATTATGTCGGCACCGATCCTAGTCACCCTGGCATTATCATAGATTTTTGTGATGAGCTGGTCCACAAGAACACTGACATACATTTTATATCTTTCTGCTGCAAACATCTTTACATTCTCTGATGATATTGACTGATTCGATGAGTTCTTCTCCCTG